ATATATAAAATAATATAAAATAATATAAAATAATTTAAAGACAAGATATCCATGACATATCTTTTAAATCCACTGTCCAGAATAACAAGGTGTCCATATCAAGGACAGTGATTACATGTAAGAGCATGATTTGACGGTGCTAGCCAAAGAAGGCAGCCTGACAAAATGATAACTGTACCAACCCATCCAGAAGGATGGAGAGCAACTTCATGGACATGTATACCCCTTTACCTAGTTACCTGTACACCTTCATGTGACAAATACAAGTCATAAGATTTGTTCTCATGTTTTACTGGAATTGATTGACACTTTTACTTCCAGGGGAACACGTCACAACACTGCAATCCTAATACTGAATCAAAAAGGCCTAGTAAGCCAGTCAATATAACTCCATTGTGTAGGTTGTCACCAACTGTAGCCAATCACATTCACATTACCTGGACTCCAAAATATGGGCAGGTAAGGGTATTCAAGTTTAAAACCATAGGATTCTGAATTACTCAGTCAATAATATGTTTGTTTTATTCTTGTGTTCTGTTTTATTCTAACTGTTTTGTGTAAACTATTTCCACAAGTTATATGGTAGAAAAGTACAAACAAACTAAATGCCTCTGTAATTTTTTGTGTGGACAGAGACATGTGGTAACAGCAAAACTAGTTAGAGCTGTCACATCAAGTTGTTTAATACAGAGATTGAAGGCACATGGCTACAGAAACCCTGATCATTCAAGAGCATTGAGTAAGTTTTTCTATAGGTTATCTATGATTTCAAGTTCCAAGTAAATTCTTCAACAGTTTACAATTTTGTGTGAGTGCTGCAGTTGCATATATACTATAGTTCCGGAGAGTGATCACTGGAAATAACAATGCAATAGATGACACATGCATTTGATCATCTTTGGTGATCTTTGAAATCCTTAAGAAATGGAGAGCAGGAATGGCATAGTGGTGAGAGGGCTCTCCTTCCACCAGTGTGTCCGGGGTTCAATCATGGCGTGGTGCCATGTACATTTGTTGAGTTTTCCTCGTGTCAAGGGTTTTTCCTAGTAACTCTGATTTTGCTTCCTCCTGAAAAAGCAACATTTTCAAATTTCTTAGTCCTGGTGGCCTTTGTGAATCATTGTAAGTTGTAATTTCCAATCTATAGCTATAAGTTATTGCAACTTACCATTTCTATTACTTTTGTACACCTCTGCTGCAAGACAGTAAAGATGCACATCATTAGTTACAAGTGTCTTATGTTAGCAGTAGCCTACATCAGTAGCCACAGGGATTAATGCATGCATATGATTTTCAAAATCTACTTGCCTGCATTTGGTAAAACTNCAGGTGTTAAATGAGATCAACTCTGACCTGTGATCATTTTAATAATACCACAAGGAAAAAGGCTTGAACTGCTCAGTCTGAATCACCAGCTATTTAGTTGCCGGGCAAATCTCAGAGATCTCATCCACCACACTGATTTTTGGGTGTAGAGTGTATTCACTCATGGGTCCAGCAGCCATGCAAATTTAGTGGAACAAAAGAAAGTGTTTTCTTAAGAAAAGGGTTGAACTCCCACAGGATTGGTTTGTTACACCAATATGGCCACCGTTTCATTGTTTTGGAACACCAATATGGCTGCCATGACGTCATGTGCATATGCTCCACACCAAGTTGCCTACAGTGACTATCTGGAGATTTGAATTATTATTTTGGTAATGTACTTCCTTCAATTTTATATTTAGACATGGGGAATTTCAGACTCTTGGAGCTAATAAACAAGGCTTTTTTGTCCCTGCAGATTGTTTAAGGAGATTCTAGAAGCAGCTGCAAATTGTAATGAGATTTCATTTCACGAGGATGGTTCGTGGAGGCCAATAAATGACTTGCAAGGTATTAAGCACATTTGTCTTTGAACATTGAGTACTGGGCAGTTTGTTAAACTGCATGAGAGGAAATGAAGACTGTACAGTTGGACTCCGCTAATTCAAACTCGGTTATTTCTAATTCATCATTATTTTCAACTGAAAACCATTTCCCTTGGGTTTGCCTTTCAGTCATTTGTTATGGGCTTTTTCAAAATAGCAGGGTTCAACTATGGCTAGAAAGGAGCTAGAATATTGTTATTATTGCAAAGATATTTCCTTTGTGGCTTGCAGCTTTTGTAGCATTATGTAATACAGTTCAGAATCTACATGCGCTGATTGGCTAAACAAGCATGTTTTATCGTGTTATGTTAATAAAAATCTGTAGCACAGAGCATATAAAGAGGTCAAAGCCATGTTGTGTACTGCCTTATTTAAACTGTGATCATTTCAGAGCACTCCATAACATTGAAAACATTCACAATTTATTAATCTCTTTTGTGTTCTCAAATGTTGATGATGTACATTTCATTATATTCTGCAGAACAAGAAAGCAAAAAAGCTCTGAGTGCTCTGGTAGCCACTACAGTTTTATCAACACCAGACAGAAGTGTAACCTCCAGCAAACAACATCTCCAAGGTGTGTTCCTATGGAGTTGATATGCTTTATTTTTAATAATATTATGTCTTTTTCTGTTGGTGTCCCTGATATACAGTGCTGTTTTCAAGCTTTGAAGAAGCTCACTGCATAGTGTGTACCTCATTTATAAAATCATAAGCCCCTTTGTCAACATGGAAATTCTTCTCTCCTTCTAATTTTGTGTTGATTTATGCAAATACTGCTTAGTGGTTTAAAAGGATTTCCAATAGTGCAAAATCACATAAAGATTGTGAAGGTTTTGTTGTTGACAAAATGAATGACTTTTCATTTGTTTACCTGTTTTTGTTGGCAATGGGTCTCTTAGTTTTGTTTCTATGTATAGCAGAGGCTCGGGATGATGAAAGGAAGAAAGAAAAAGAAGTTCAAGTTATTGACCTCACTTTAGACAGTGATTCAGAAAGTGATAGGAATGACGATGATGATAATGACAACAGTGAAGAGTATTCTGAAGAGCGGGACTTAAACACACCAAGGTAAAGGGGTAATTTATGCTCATCTCTCACAGTGACAAAAAGAAGTTGCTATCTCTAGTGTGAGATTGCATGGAACCTAGACCAGTCTATGTGTAGTCTTGTCTTGGAGAGGTTAAAATCTTACAAATGTGGTGTAAATCACAAGAATGCTTGCATTTGGTAGAAAAGAACTGTTAGTGGTGTATATTTACCTTTTATGATGATAAATATAGTCATTACGTGGCCTTATGTACAGACATACATGATGAGTATTGGTGATGGTGATGTTGTATTTTGTAAATCTGTGTGGAAATTTTTATCTATTGGATGTCAAAAACGTTAGATCATTTATAATTTAACACACAACTTTCATCTGAGAATTGGTCGAGAATTCCTTGTTGTAGAGATTGATAAATCCAACATCAAGTAGCATGCAAATGCAAGTACAAAGCTTAAACCATATGATCTTATTATTATGTGTATACTTACATTAGAGATGAAGTGTAAGTGACAGTTGGTTATTTTTGTCTTCGTGTAGGCCATCTTTTGGTGTTGGTGTATCAGGAATAAAGAGACCGCCCAGCCTGAACACTATGGTGTTTCCTACTAATACCAACACTATACCTGGATCATCAGCTTCATCACTTTTGAATCCAAATTTCTTTCCTTCTCCGCTGGACTTTGCATGTCAAGGTACTATACATCAGTCCATATTTAGTAAAGTGTTGTTCAGTTTCTTTAAAACGTTCCTCTTCGTGTCTGGAAATGTCTTTCATGGGAATTTTATCTGCATAACATATCAAGGTACTAAAATTGGTCTTGGTGTAAGCTGGGTCCGTTGTTATTTCTTAATTATCTGATTCGAAAGTTTCAACAAATGGCTTATGGTCAAAGTGGAAATTGAGCATATGATTGCCTGATAGCAATCTTTGAAAGGTAAAGGTAGGGAATCCGATCCCACCGACGCGTCGGCCAACACGTCGACCGACGCGTTGGTCGACACACCACCGACACATCAACGACACACTACCGACGCGTCGGCCGAAATATTTTCCCTTTCTCTAGTTCGATCGGGAAGTTAGGATCAAGATCAAGATCAAGATGGCGGTCAAAAGTAAATTTCTTATTTTCATATCGTAGTGAAAGTTTTCCGTCGAAGCCATTTCAGTTCAGTTTGGAAAAGGTACGTTTAGCCTTGCAATAGTTCAATAAGGCCCAAACGAGTCACCGACACGCCACCGACGCATCACCGACGCAGCTTGTACGTTATAAGGTTAAAAAGTGGCTAACGCGTCGGCCGACTGTCGACCGACACGTCGACGAACGCGTCGATCGACGTATTGGCCGACGCGTCGGTAGGATCGGATTCTTTACCTTTAACCTTTGAAAGGCAAACTGAAGGAGTTAAAAGGCATGGAATAAATTGAAAGATACCAACATGCTTTATTATGACTACAATCAGAAAAAGTTTGTAAACATCTGTTTAAATGAATGGCGACAAGCACTGTATGAAACTTCAATTGGAGACTCAGATTTTTTTTTTGTCTCATGCTCGCGGCTAACTAAGTACAGACCAATTACTACCAATATGACAGAGCTTAAAATTTACCATCTTTGTATGTACCACCATACTTAACACATTTGGCATTGCTGGCTTTTGGCATTAACCTCCTTTCGAACGACCCAGCTCTGATTAGCGTGTTTAATTGCTCCGTTCTCACATATGATGCATTATATCTTGTGCCTGTCTTACCTGATTTGTCAACTGTTTTCTTGTTGCTTCCTTGTTAGGACTTGATCTCGATAGCATATATCCAGGTCCTCTTTTCCCTCCTAATGAACCTGTAAGTATTTTCATTGAGAGATTGTTCCTCTAATTTGTGTCTTTGACGTTGGTGTTGTTGTTTATGTTGTAGTTGTTGTTTTGTGTTGTTGGGAAGTGTTAATCGTGTCTTGTTTACAAAACTTATGAGACATTACAATGTTGTTTACTCAGGAAACTGGTTAATTTTGTGTGTTAGTTTGACAAGAAATAGGTAGGTAGGTAGTCTTCCAAAGTTCTAATCTTATAAAGTGAACGCTAGGGGTCAGCTTCATATCTCCAGCTTTCAAGAGGGCTCTGGCACGAGGCATTTCATCCTCTATAAGCTCTTGAGTTTTGTGTGTAACATGGCTCTGAGTCTGGATGAAAGTGACCATTCAAATGAAAGCTATCGAGCAGCGGTGGTACTATTTTATCATAGTTTTTAAAACGGCAGAAGTTTTAGAAAAATACTTAAATTCGTAAAAGGTTTTCAGAAGGTTAAAAGAATAAGCCTTTGTGACCA